GTCCGGTTCATACGTTCTGCCACTCCATTCTGTTGTGGTGTATGTCTAACAGTGAAGTGTCGGACGATGCCATCATTTTCACAGACCTTATTGAAATGATCATTTTTGTATTCACCTCCATTGTCTGTGCGAATACACTTGATCCTCCTGCCTGTCTGATTCTCCACCATCGTCTTCCATTTGAGAAAAATTCCCAACACTTCATCTTTGCTCTTCATTGTATACACCCATACTCTTCGGGAAAAATCATCAACAAAGGTTACAAAATAGTGCTTCCCACCCAATGAAGGTGTTTTGGAAGGACCCCAAACATCAGAGTGTACATAATCCAAAATGCCTTTAGTATTATGGATCGCTGTACCAAATTTAACCCTTGTCTGTTTCCCTTTAACACAATGCTCACAAAACTCCAAGTTGCAAGCCTTTACTCCTTTTAACAATCCTTGATCTGATAGAGTTTTCAAGGATTTTCCTCCAGCATGTCCCAAGCGCATGTGCCATAGCTTGGTTGCTTCTGCCTCTTTGTCGTCACTGGATGTTACTGTCGCTGTCCCAATAACTGTACTGCCACGATAGCGGTACATATTATTATTCTTCCGATTAGCCTTCATTACCACTAGTGCACCGGAGCATACTCTCATCACTCCATTTTCTGCAATGATTTTGAACCCTTTTGATTCTAGGGCTCCCACAGAGATGAGATTCTTCTTCAAATCCGGTACATATCGAACATCTATCAATGTTCTGATCATTCCATCATGGTTCCTTAATCGTATTGAACCAATGCCATATGAGGTAAGAGGGCTGTTATCCGCTGTGTGGATGACTCCATATTCTCCTTCTTGAAATTCCACGAACCAGTCCCTGTTGGGACACATATGATAGCTACAAGCCGAGTCCATCAACCATATGTCTGATGATGTTGATGACTCTGTTGTAACTAATGAGAAGTCTGAATCATCACAATCAGCTACATTTGAATCCATAATGGCCTTTCCATTGTTATGTTTGGCCTTATTCTTCAACTTCGGACAGTCTTTCTTCCAGTGCCCTTTTTCTCGACAAAAGGCACATTCATCTTTGCTGGGTCTGGATCTTGACTTGGATCTTCCCTTCTTTGTCCTCGTTTGATTTTGAGGACGACCCCTCACAAATAGTGCTTCTCCTTCTCCGCCCTTCTGTTTTTCTCGCTTTCTTTGTTCATAGCTGTACAAAGCCGAACAAACTTCTCTGAGAGAAATTTCGTCATTTCCATGGAGTAGAGTAGTTTCAAGGTGCTCGTACTCATCAGGAAGTGACGCCAACAACATTAAGGCCAAGTCACCATCATCATAAGTTGTATCCATATTTTGCAAATCTGTGACCAACTTATTGAAACTGGTGATATGTTCATTCATCGTGGTACCAGGAACATAGGTGAAGTGAAACAGTCTCTTCTTCATGTACAATTTATTTTGACTGTTTTTCTTCAAAAATTTATCCTCCAGTGCTTTCCATAATTTACTTGCAGAAGTTTCCTTTGTGTATGGATATTTCTGCTCTCTAGCAAGGTAGGATCGAATGGTACCGCAAGCAACACGGTTGATAATTCTCCAATCTTCTTCTCCAATAACATCTGGTTTCTTTTCTTCAATGGCCAGATCTAGCCCTTGTTGAAAAAGGACATCTAGAACCTCGCCTTGCCACATCCCAAAATGTCCGGACCCGTCAAAAATTTCTACCGCAAATTTCGCATTTGACACAATTCTTGTCATAAGCGAAGATGCCAATGATGACGTATTGTTGACACTTGATGTAGATTCTTCTTGTTTATTGTCTCCCATATTTGACACAAATATTATTTAATAGCTGACGACACAAATCAAGATTATTTCCTTTCTGATGTAGAAGATCAGACTAAGCTGCAACCACAGAGCATACTCAGACAGAACCTTGACTCAGTTACCAAGATAAATCTTTTCTGATGTGGAAGATCAGACTATGCTGCAACCACAGAGCATACTTAGACAGTACCTTGGCTCTGATACCAATTGTTGCGGAAGCCAAATGTATATAGTGTGAATAAGTCACAATTACTATACCAAAAATTATGACAGCCACCAAATAATAAATAAGACAATAAAACAACAATAAAGGGAACACCAGAATTTACGAGGTTCGGCTAATTTTGCCTACTCCTCGGACACAACCAATATTTTATTTCACTCCAAAAATACAAGTGAAATAATACTAAAGAGAGAAGATACAAATGCCTTAAACAGATGAGAAGGCAAATGAGAGGTGTGTTTGAATCCTAAACATTAAGCCTTCTTTTATAGGGGGAAAATCCCCCCAACTATTGCTAACCCACCGATGTGGGAAGCTGAAATATTTGGCATTTCAACAGCTGGAATATCCTAGACATATATTATGGAATTTGGCAGCTATTGGGAAACTATTATGGAATATATGCAGGAAGAAGGACTGCTTACGAGTTAAATGGATTCATTCTTACCATACAAAGAGAGGTACTGTATGGGAAACCAAGACTACTCAAGCTTCATGGATTGTGCAGAAAATCATTAAAGCAAAGACAATGTTTGAGCAAATAGGACTGACTGAAGCAGATATGGCAGCAATGAGCAACTACTTAATAAAGAAAGTATATGAACTCAGTCATGGAAAATTTCAGAAAATCCCATGGCGAATATTGATATGCAATAATGCAGGATTACCTAAATGACTGTTCATCCTATTATTGGCGTTACACAGGAGATAACAAACAAAGGAGGGAATTGCATGCTGGGCAAATATTGAAGACATGGGGTGTGTTTTGTGCTCGAAGGAGAATGAGGATATTGATCACATACTGTTTGGATGAGAATATGCCAAACAAGTGTGGTCCAAACTATTACTATGGCAAGGAATTCAGAGGGATGTGAGCAATTGGTAGCATGAAGTAACATGGGCAATGAAGAATGCAAAAGGGAGAAGTGCTGAACAGGAATTTTATCGGATGACATTAGCTGGGGGAGTATATCATCTGTGGTAAGAAAGGAATGCAAGGATCTTCAAGTCTCAAAGAAAAACTGCGGATCAAGTGATAAGGCAAGTGATAAGAGAAGTACATTTAAGAGCACGTAGAATTTTTAGAGTAGACAAACGTATGCAGTCACTAAATTTATACCCATAAGAGGCTGTATATAGAAACAGATTAGTTTGCAGAGTTGAGGTTTCAGTAAGCTTGGGACTAAATGTCCAAGATGCTATTTTTTTGGGTGTTTTTTGATGGCGGTAAATATTTGTTTGTGGAAATATAAATAGATAGTTACCAAAAAAAAATGCTAAACTTTAACTATTTATTTTTATGTTAACAGACTAAACAAACTCTAAAACATTTAATGTTCAAAATAGTAGTATTTACAAAAAAACATATGTACAGTAATAAATCCAACTAAATTAATAATTTCAATGTGATAATTTTTTTCAAAATTGTGAACAAAAATTAAATTAACACAAGAAATCCAACTAAATTAATAATTTCCCACCTTCGGATTTATAAAGAAGAATCACGCATATTAGACATAGAATGCCAACCCAAGCAAAAAGCGACAAATTCAAAAATAGCCAGATTTACAAGTGGTCATTTAAAAATAGCTACAGTTTCAAAAGTAATCGAAATTTAGTCACTTTTCATGTAAAGATAAATCTGAACGAAAACACAGTTCAAAATCCGGAAAATACTCCAGCATAATATATTTGAGTTCCACTATAATATACCGGTCCAGTATAATATACTGGAGTTAGGAGCACCGGTGCTCCAGTCTCCAGTATATTATATTGGAGCCGCAAAGTATACCGGTCCAACATAATATGCTGAAAGTTCATACACAGGTGCACCGAACTCCAGTATATTATACTGGACCGGTCTCTGTTGCAGCAAAATAGTGGCTATTTTTCAATGACTTGGCAAACGTTGACTATTTTTGAATGGCCAATCCGAAAACTGGCTAGACCGTGCTATTCTAACAAGCAAAAATAAAACACCTCTCTACAAATCATAATCTATGCTTCTCTTTCCAAGAACCCACTATATAATCATCTTAAAGATATAGGTTTTTTTTTTTTTTT